GCTCACTGCAAGCTCCACCTCCCAGGTTCAAGCGACTCTCCTGCCTCAGCTTCCAGAGTAGCTGGGATTGTAAGCATTTGCCAACACACCGCGCTAATTTTTGTATTTTTAGTAGAGATGGGGTTTCACCATGTTGGCCAGGCTAGTCTTGAACTCCTGACCTCAAGTGATCCACCCACCTTGGCCACCCAAAGAGCTGGGACTACAGGCATGAGCCACCACGCCCAGCCTATTTATACATTTGTCATCCAGAAAATTTCTCTTAAGTATAAAAAATCCTTTTTCTAATTGCACAGAATTCCTATTATCTAAATCATTTTATAACCACACATACTATAAAATACATTATATAATCAATATATCTAAATATTAGGTGTGTGTGGTTTTACGTGCACAGTGGGAATGTGACATTTGTATTTACATATTAATTAGCTGCATTTGCATTTATGAATTAATGACATGCAATTAAATAAACAATTGTTACTGCAATTTTTTCTTAGCAAAGTTGTCATCACAAAACAGAAAATGTAAGTTGCACACGTTAAAAATTATTCTTGTTCTAATTTGAGCCATCTTTTAAAATCCCAGTGGTTTTGCCCTTCCTAATAAAACTTGACTTAATTTTTAAACACTTAATCTACAATCTACTTTAATTTAAATGATTTTCATTAAAAATTTAATTTTAGAAGTACTCAATCCTCTTGATAGTCTTTTCAATTAACAACTAAATATGGAGTTGACACGCTCACAAATTAATTAGTGTTGAAAGAGTAAAGGGGAAATACATGGAAAAAGCATTCCTTTCATAATTAAAACCTGCTGGCATCAGAAATAGCTAGACCTGGAAGAAACAAGACTTTCCCATTATGTCCTAGTTGGTGTTTATATATTATCCATCTTCCTAAGGTCCTTTATTTTATATCCCACTTAAGGTAAAATCATTTTTGTTCTTTAATATGAAGCCCAGATAAACATAAATACAACTGCTGTATTACTGTACAACAGAAGTAATGAGATTTCTATATGGGCAGATCTCATAAAAACAAATATGGTATAAACTGTGCTTCTCTGAAAGGCAGTCTACTTAATGCAATAAAATATTCAAAGATCCAGAACATACTAAAATAATGGACCTAATCATTCTTTAAATGATTAATTTAAAAGGTTCTGGTTTCTAATAAATCTGAATGCTAAGTAGTAGCTTTTTAATTTGCCAAGATGGCAAATGTTGCCCCTATTGATATTTTCACCAAGTGGCATTTACTACATTTGGTGAGAGGTGAAAGAGGAAGGGAGGGAAATGGAGGGGGATGGGGAGAGAGAAAGACAGAAAAGAGGGGGAGGAGGAAGAAGAGAGAAAGAGAGAGACAGAGACAAACGCTGGGGTGGAAATGGAAAAATATTACTATGACAGAAATGTCAAAATATTATTCTTTTATTGGATACAACTGAATTCAACTTTGTAAAAGTAAAATTTAAGCTGTATAAGTTTGAGTGTACATACTGTTTAAGTATATATTATTAGTGTAAGTTTAAGCTCCTTAGTATAGAAGCTAGATGAAGCAGAGTTTTCATGAATAAGATTTCTTTAAGCCTACTTGTTGACTACAGTAAGTAATCTATAAAATTCTAGCATTCTAGGTAGGAGAAATAAGTCCCAGTGTTCTATAGCACTATAGGGTAACTATCATTAACAACAATTTGTGGTGTATTTTCAAATAGCTCAAAGAGTGGATTTCAAATGCTCTAACACAAAGAAATGATAAATGTTTGAAGTGATGGACATGCTAATAATCCTCATTTGATCACAACACATTGTATACATATATGAAAATATCAATGTACCCCATAAATATACACAATTATTGTGTCAAGAATAATAAAAGTAAAAAATTAAAATGTTCAATTGTTACATGCTTCAAATTTTTAGCATTCTATGATTAACTTAATATTAAAATGACATACCTAAGTTGATGCTCCCTCAAGTTTGACAAGGCTTCCATACCATGTAAATAGGAATATACTATTTCCAGATCCTGTGTCAAAGAAAAGGATAGAAATTATTAGACTTGTCAGGAAAGGGGGTTTCTAAAATAAGTCACTATATCTACAAACTGAATTAAACTATGGATAGCTTTTTAAAAAATACATGTTTTCTTAAGACATTAAAAATAAACATTATTAAAAGCTCAATTGTACAAATGTCCATTACAACTGCTTCCGGGATATGCATAAAACCTACTAAAATATAAAATAATATGACAAACTTATAAAAATAAATTCCTCATAAATCGTTCTTTATCACCTGTTTCTGTCTTTTACATGAAAATAGCAAGTACAAAGTTTTAATTTCAAAGTACATTTGTCAATACCATAGTTAAATCAAATTATTTTCTTAGTTAATATAAAATGAATGCTTGTTATTGCCTGGTTACACTTAAAAATTGATATAAATTCAATTTTTTTCAATTCTTACCAAAATTACATCTTATAGAGATATTTAAGTTTAAATATTTTCTTTTAAAAAAGAAAACATGCCTTGTTTTTCCAGATCACACTGCAGTAAACAGGAAAAAAAAAATGACTCAAATTTATTTATGAAAGTTCAGAAGAGGTAAAAATTCAAAGTCCTGTTTATATTCATATGTGACAAGCCAGAAAGGATTTAGTATTTTAAGACTCTAATAATATCTAGGAGTCTAGGATTACACACAGTTTCTGCCATCAAGAATATGAGGGATATTTACTCCTTTCCGAAATCTTAGACAAAATCTACAACAAATCTAAGAAATTTGTAAAATAATCCTCTCCTTTTCAAAGTGTTAACAGCTTTATTTACTAATAATAATTCACATACTATAAAACGTATCCTTTTAAAGTGAACAATTCATTGGTTTCGTTGTACAATCCATCATCACTAATTTTAGAACATTTTCACCATCCCAAAAAAACAACTCCATACTCATTAGCAGTCATTCTCCATCCCCCTTACTCCAAGCTCCTGACAACCACTGAACTACTTTCTGTTTCTATGGGTTTGCCTATTCCAGACATTTCATGTAAATGAAATCCCACAGTGGAATATATGATCTTTGGGGACAGCTTCTTTGACTTAGCACAATGTTTTCAAGGTTCATCCATGTTTTAGCATGTATCAGTACTTTTCTTTTTATTGCCAAATATTCTTTCATTGTAGATACATACTACACTTTGTTTGCCCATTTATCAATTGATGGACATTTACGATCTTCCCTCTTTTTGGCTCATAGTTTCACCTATGAGTGAAACTAAACTGCTGATTCACATTATAACTCTGTGTTTGACTCTTTAAGGACCCGCCAAGCTGCTTTCCTATGTCACTGTAACCATTTTATAATCCCACAGGCAATGTATGAGCATTCCAAGCTCTCTACATCCTTACCAACACTTGTTATTGTCTCTCTTTTTATTTTAATCATCCTACTAAGTGTGTAATAGTATTGATTTGCATTTCCCCAATGATTAAGGATGTTGAGCATCTTTTCATGTGCTTTTTTGTCCATTTATATAAATTCTTAGGTAAATGTCTATTCAAATTCTTTGTTCATATTTTAATTGGTTTATCTGCCTTTTTATCATTAAATTGTAAGAGTCCTTTATACACTCTGGATAGAAGGTCCTTATTCAAATGTATAATTTGTAAATATGTTCTCCCATTCCATGGACCATCTTTTTTACTTTCTTGATGGTGTCCTTTGAAGCACACAATTTTAATTTTGAAGTTCAATTTATTTTCTTTTGTTGCATGAGCTTTTAGAGTAATATTTAAGAAACCATTACCTAATCCAAGATCCCAATGATTTACTCCTATATTTTCTTCTAAAAGTTGTATGGTTTTAGCTCTTACATTTTGGCCTATGATCTATTTTAATTTTTGTATACACTGTGAAGTAGGGGTCCAACATTATTTTCACATGTGCGTATCAGTTGTCCTGGAACCCTCTGTTGAAAAGACTATTCTTTACCACATTGAACTGTAATGGTATGCTTATTGAAAAATCAATTGACCATAAATAAAAGGGTTTAATTTCTGGACTCTCAATTCTACTCCACTGGTTTGTCTATCCTTATGCCTCTACCACGCTGTCTGGAGTAGGCAGCTTTGGTAGTTAAGTTTTGAAATTGCGAATTTTCAGTGTTCCAGCCTTGTTCTGCCCTTTCAACAACAGGTTTTACTGGCTCTTTTAGGTGCCTTGCATTTTCAATCCTAATTTTTTTGATTAGCTTGTCAGTATATGCAAATGAGCCAGCTGGGATTTTAGTCGGGTTGCATTGAATCTGCAGACCAATTTGAGTAGTATTGCCATCTTAAAAATTCAAGTCTCCTGATCTATAACATGTGATGTCTATACATTTATTTAGGTTTTCTGTGATTTCTTTTAACATTGTTTTTGTACTTTTCAGTGTACAGACCATACTCTCTTGGTTAAATTTTAATCCTTTTAATTAAGAAAAAAAACTTTTTGTAGGCTGAGAACACTTAGGAACAATTAGAACCGTGTGAGAAACTGAATCTTATAAAAGGACGTAGATGACAATAATTCACAGAATAACTAGATAAGGAATTAGAAACCTTTTAAAGAAAGTACTAAGGCCGGGCATGGTGGCTCACGCCTGTAATCCCAGTATTTTGGGAAGCCGAGGTACACAGACCATTTAAGGTTAGGAGTTCGAGACCAGCCTGGCTAACATGGTGAAACCCCATCTCTACTGAAAATACAAAAATTTGCTGGGTATGGTGGCATATGCCTGTAATCCCAGCTACTTGGGAGGCTAAAGCAGAAGAATCACTTGAACTCAGGAGAAGGAGGCTGCAGTGAGCGAGAATGCACCACTGCACTCCTGCCTTGGCAACAGAGTGAGACCCTGTCTCAAAAAAAAAAAAAAAACAAGAAGAAAAGAAAATACTAGGAAGCTTTTCAGTCTAAAATGTTTTAGACTATTTTAGTCCTTAAAACAATGTTATGGTATGTTAAGACATGATTTATAATTTTAAGTCATTCCAATTTAAAATTTATCAATATTAGAAACTTAAAATGTCACCCTCATATAGACAACTTTCAAATAAACTGATGGTCTCTCATTTTATCCATCTATACTCTGATAAATAATTTCCAAGAAGCCTTTTAAAAGTTATTTAAAGACTGAAATGTAAAAATAGGTCCCATAAGTTCAATAACAATAAGAAAACTAAAACAAAATTGTTTCCTCTATCCAGTTCACGAAGTGTACATTCCTAAATCTAATAAACCCCTTCTTTAGAAAAGCAATCAGGCTCCAATCATAATGTTCTATTTGCATTCAAGGAAAGCCAATAAAAATGTCCTAATGAAACATTTGTAATAAAAGATCCTTCTGGATAATCCTAAAGTTCACCATTCTAGTTTAAATATTATGAATTTGTATGTTACTTTTCTGGATAATCCTAAAGTTTACCATTCTAGTTTAAATATTACGAATTTGTATGTTACTTGAAGTCGTCAAATAGTACAGAATGACTGTCTTCCTGGCCGGGCATGGTGATTCACACCTGTAATCCCACCACTTTGGGAAGCCAAGGCGGGTGGATGACCTGAGGTCAGGAGTTCAAGACCATTCTGGCCAACACGGTGAAATCCCGTCTCTACTAAAAATACAAAAAATTAGCCAGGCGTGGTGATGCACGCCTGTAGTTCTCAGCTACTCAGGAGGCTAAGGCAGGGGAATCGCTTGAGCCCGGGAGGCGGAGACTGCAGTAGGCTGAGATTGTGCCACTGCACTCCAGCCTGGCAACAGAGCGAGACTCCATCTCAAGAAAAAAAAGACTGTCTTCCCATTTCTGAGGAGCTTATATTCTGACTCTTATATTAAAGTCTTACATTGTTTTCACTAAATTACCTGTCAACCTGTTACAATCTGCCAAAGGCCTAAAACTGATTTTATCTAAGCAAAAAGACTATTTGCATTCATTTAACTATCAAGAATAAACAAATTCACACTGACTAAAAACGTGTATTTGGAAAAGTATTAGAAAGAAATAAAATTTTTAAAAGCTATTTCTGGAAAGGACGGCGAAGTCTAAGAAACACAGTAGAAGCAAGAATTTGGAAGCCTCAAGACAGAATCAAAGAACAGCCTTAAGGCCTTAAAATAGAACAAAAGACCTTGAAATAATCAAGTTTCTACTTCAACTAACCTAAGAAAAATCAAAGATAAAAAGCTAGCTCACTGATCAAGTAGCACTTTATTAATCTGTTGCTTTACAACATTATGGAGTTTCATAGTTGTATAAGGGCCATGCTCTTATACAAACTATGTCATACATATTATGTTAGTGTGATATACATGGATTTAACAATTTTGAGTATGAATGTATACTTTGAATAACCATTATTTATCTTAATTATAGCATACAAATTAAATAAGATTGTTGATTAGTTAATAAAAATGTAAAGAATGGAATATTATCACCTATAATTCACTGACATAAATGAACGAATCAGGAAGTCGTTCCTGAGCCTGTATCATAAACCTGGGAGACAGACATTACACCTTACTGCATGAACAGACTTAAAAAGCAGTTTTTCTGCCTATATGTACCTGCATAAATAAAACATTCATATCTCATATAATCATGATTTTTTAGGGGGTACTTTCGAATGTGTCACTATTCAAGCAATATACAACCAGAAAACCCTGTGTAGTAACTGCTTCGTCTTGTATTTTATATATCAAACCAGACTATAAACTTCTTAAATGAATTCAATTACATTCAGAGTTTCTTCTATTGCTCTTACAGTACATCATCCCACAAGAAACTTGTTTTAAACTTGTTTTAAATGGTCTGTGCCACAAGGAGCCTATAAACTGGGGGAAAAGACTACATGATTCCACTATTATAGACGCAATTAGAGGGCTTTACAGATAGACTCCATGTAAACTTGAGACTTCTTAGTTATATTAACAGGAGTGGCAGGCAACCCATAAGTAATGTTTCACTACGTAATATGAATTTGAC